TTAGGAAAATGCCCCAAGGTTTTCCAAGTTGCAATAATATGCTACTTTTGCATAAAACACAAATTTGGTTAGCTGCCCAAATTTGGGGGGTCCACCAAACCGTGGGAACCCTAAGAAAGCCAACACCCCAAAAAGCAATAACCTCCCTCTTTCAATAACCTCATTTCAAAAAGGTGGTAGAGACATTACCTACTGTGTGTTTCAAAATGTAGACTTTTTTCTCCAGAAAAAGAAAATCTTTCTGCTGACAAATAAGGAGAAATTTAAATCAAAATCTTCTCCCTCGTGAGCTGCCTGGGTTGAGTGAGGACAGCCGCAGGCCTGACTGCTGAGGCTACAGGTGTCACTGTGGGCACTGAAGCAACGCAGAGAGTGAGATGGGGCAATGCAGCCAATTCTGCTCCTGCCACTGTTCAAGCTGGGGCCTGGGAGGTTTGGTCCATGCACTTATTTGATTTGTTTTGGTTTTTTGAGCAACAATCAGCAATAAGAATGAAACTGGGCCACAGAGAGAAAAGGTAAAGCAATGCTTTTAACATTTCAACAATTCCATCTAAGCATGAGCAACACAGGTACACCTGGCCAGAGGTGGAGGGAGAAGGAAGGGCTCCTGTTCCAATCTCCCTCCGGATTTCACTCCAGAAGAAGGAAGCCCAGTAGGTGCTGCCCGCTGCCCTCAAGGGCTGGTGTGAGGGAGGGTCGTGCTCTCTCAGCCCACACAGCAAGGTTCCTCTCCATTTGGACACCAGAGGAGCTGGGGCACAGGGAGGCACAGCAAGGGCCTATGGTCACACAGGCCACAATTATAGACGCTGACTCCACCCTGTCAGCCCCTGCTCCTGTCCCACAAGACACTGCCTTGAGGCCAGGCATGGTGGCTCACGCCTGTAATTCCAACACTTTGGGAGGCTGAGGTGGGGAGTTCGAGACCAGCCTGGACAACATGGTGAAACCCCGTCTCTACTAAAAATATAAAAATTAGCCAGGCATGGGGACGGGTGCCTGTAATCCCAGCTACTTGGGAGGCTGACGCAGGAGAATCGCTTGAACCCGGGAGGCGGAGGTTTCAGTGAGCCAAGATCAAGTCACCGCAATCCAGCCTGGGTGACAGAGTGAGACTCCATCTCAAAAAAAAAAAAGACCCTGCCTTGCTCATGAGCTGCCAAGGTGGCAGGTGAGTGCTAAGAAGGCCAGGTGCTCACAGAAGCCACCACCCTGGGGGGAAGGTGGGCAGACAGCAGTGTGTGGCCCACAGACTCCAGGCTCCTTTCTGCCCTGCCCGCCCCCCTTCCCGGGGCTTCACCCATGTGGCTCCAGCAGGATGGCTCCCTGGCCCCTGTGTCCACACTGTCTAACCACAAGGCCACTCGCTGGGCCCTCTGAAGGCCCAGTGCAACAGTGAAGACTCGGAATCTCCACCCACTGTGAATAGCTGTAACAGACAGAGGCCTGGACCTGCGTGCCCAGCTCTCTGCCTGGCAAGGACACAGTGGCCACCTTCACACGAACGCCGCCCACGCCTCTGGACAGCACAGACTCCACAGTCGCTCAACAACACAGCTCCTGCCGAGCAGGCAGCACGTCCGGGCGCCACCAATCCCGCTGGGGACACCACACACCTGGGGTTGCAGTCCAGGACGCTGGGTGAATGCCGCGAGCTCAGAGACACAACGGAGCTGAGACGGGCTGCAGCGAGCCACGTCCATCTCCTCCTCTGTGGCCCCGCGACCTGCTCTCTGCACAGTGGCTTACCTGCCTGCCCACAACGCAGCTGCACGGATGCCTAGTGAGGGCATGGCGCACCTCTCCCCACGACGCCCTGGGCATGAATGCGGCGTCTCAACATTCTGAGACACTTATTCATGCTTTGTGAACTATTTAACAAATATGGTAAATATACACAGAATCGGGAATTCCCCTTTAAGAAAAGGCACAGGTTTCTCGGCCTGAAAAAAAAAAAGGAAACCGCACCTGTGACGTGACAGAGCTCTGGCTGCTGACACAGCACCGTCCGCAGAGCTCGCCACCACCCCACCCACAGGCACTGGCAGGAACCCTCACAGCCCGCACAGCCTCCCGCCAAAAACGCACACAAGCCCACCACGTGGGCTTCACGTAAACACAACTGTCTGTGGAATTCATAAGTGTATGACGGGAGGTGGTGCCCACTATACAGAATGGGCCATCTCCCACAACCCACAGCAATGATTGAACTCTCGAGTTCCTGTGAAGCCAAGCCTTGCCCACGTCTCCAGAATCCCCGCACCCCGGGCACTCCTGTTCCACAGCACAGCCCGGTCCATACTCAGCAGTTGCTCCAGGCCCCTCCACATGGCCCTGAGGACAGGCCAGCCTTCTTCACGCAAAGTCACCCGAAGGTCAGCCCCACCATGACCCTCCCAGAGCTCTGCTCGAGAGATCAGAATTCAACGGGCATCTCCAAGGGGCCGGGCGCTGTAAGCGAGCCCAGGAGCCACCCCCTGGAGGGACTTCCAGCAGAATGACAGTGCTAGCGGACGCCCCTGCCAGGGGACCGTGCTCCAGAGCCCAGCTCAGAGCCTGGGGAGGCAGGGCGTGGGCCCCAAGCCACAGCAGCCTGGTGAACACAGCCAGTGACCTCAGCTGTCTGGGGGACAGCCCCGAAGCCAGCGGGCCCAGGGGAGAGGGTGGTGGCCCATGCCAGGTTCCCACTCCCCTCTCTGGCTTCCGAACCCCCATCGAGGTTGGCAGCACTTCCCAAGCAAGGAGAAGCTCGGCAGGGAAGGTCAGCTCACAGCCATCACACACAGGAGCTGGGGCCTGCCCCATTCTGCCCCACACAGGGCCTTCCACCGCCCCACGTGGACTTCCTGAGTACAGACACAGCCACCCCACCGCCATGGGCTCTGCTCTGAGTATTGCCCTGCCACGTCCCTGTCACCTCGCTGGAACATTCCCTGTGCCCAACTAAAAAAACACCAATCGCAGCCAATGCCCTGAAAGCCCAGAATCCTTAGCCTGACATTCCAAGGCACCGTCTCCAAGGCAGAGCAGCCGGCCTCCAGCCTCACATCTGAGGCCCCTGTCATCTTCCTGGAGGAGCAGGGACTCCTCACCTGGGAATAGGGCCCAGCCCTGAAAGCCACTGCCCCACACAGCACAGCACACTCATCCCACATGCCACCATCCTCTCCAAAGAGTACCCGCTCCTCTGTCCAGGCTGTGCCTCCAACTCTCAGCCCAGACTGACACTGCAGCGACACCCCACAATGCCACCTCTCAGGTTACAGACACTTCTATCTACCTGACTGCACACTCTGCTGTCAGGGCCATTTCTCGCTCATCTATACATCTCAGCACACTCTACACTGTGATCCACACACCAAGCACCAGCACAAAGCAACCCCCGGCTTTCAAGCTGGAAGCACATCACGTGGCCAGGGGCGCAGATGTGTGCTCTTGGCCACGCCATGCCCTAAAGCAAAGGGTGGAGAGGGCGGTGGGCCTGTTGCCCGCCTCTGAAGGCAGTGTCCTGCTGGAGCACAGCCACGGCCATGCACTGACACCTCGTTTGTGGCTGCTTTCAGAGCTGAGCAGTTGAAGAGAGACCCCAGGACCTGCAAAGCCTGAAACATCTGCCACGTGGCCCTTCAGAAGGCGGCTGCGAGTGACCCCGTACCATGACCCTCTGATCCTTGTGACCTGTTTTACTCCACTGCTGAGAAGCTGTGAGGAGGCCCCACGTGTGGTCTCCCAGGCAGTTATCTGAGATGACCCTCAGGGTCCAGGACGGGCGTCCACCAGTGTCTGACAGCTGGGGCACACGCCTGGGCCAAGACGTGGCGCATGGGAAGATGCCATGACCTGCGCACACGTGTGTGGGTGGGACCTGGCTCCACCTCTCAGCAGCTTCCAGGAAAACCTGCAGTCAGCACAACCCCTTCAGTCTTACTTAGACCCCATTTTCACAGCAGCTACTGAACAGCCGAGCCCTTCCCCTCCTCACTGCTCCTGACAGAGGCTCACGGGCCACACCACGCTTCCCAGAGAAGCAAGCCTCTTTCCTGCTGAACAGTGGCCCCTGCACGGTGAGACCCCGGACACCCCCTGCACGGTGAGACCCCGGACACCCCCTGCACGGTGAGACCCCAGACACCCCCTGCACGGTGAGATCCTGGACATCGAGTGCTCTGCCTCACTTGCCTTGTTGCGAGATCAGATTTACATTTCACGCTCCCCTGTGGCAACTCTCCAGAGCCCAGATTGCCGGAGGCCGCTGCACCCTCCCACACCTTCCCGCCAGGGGCCTCGTATCTCTCGTGTTTGCTGCTGCTTCACTTTACATCTTTGTCAGAAGCCAGCAGGACAGCTTCTGAAGCAGACGGGCTCGGTGGAGCAAATGGACCATGTATGCTGGCAAGGAGGACCTGAGCGCCCATCAAACATCACTGAAGAGCAGCACCGCCATCGCCACCTGGAGCAAGCCCCGCTCTTCAGAAGGGAGGGAAACATCACAGGCTGGGCTGGGCACGAAAATCAGGCTTTGGAGCTCTCCTGGCTCCCGTCACAGCCAGGTCAGCACAGAGGCCCTGGCACGGCTGCTGAGACCCAGCCCTCGAGGCAGGCGGCACTCCACCTGCTGCGGAGAGGTTCAGGAGGGCCTGGGTCAGCACGACCAGGATGGCAGGGAAGGCTCCGGCTCTCCTCCTCCTCTCCCTTCCTCAAGAGTGGCCTACAGACAGGAGGCGAGGAGTTTTTTACCTTTTAAGGGTACACAGTAGGTATCTATATTACGGGGTATATGAGCTATTTTGGTATAGGCCTGCTGGGCGCAGTGAGCACATCAGGGTCAACCAGGCGTCCATCCCCTCGAGCACTGATCCTCGGGCTGGGATTACAAACTGCTTGGAGAAATGCAGCCCTGGGCCGGAACTCCTGATGCCAGCGTCCTCAGCGATGACATGTGGGTCCTGACTCAGCTCCCTGCACACCCCAGTCCCCCAAGGCGGGGTCCGACTTACACCGGATGCCATAGATGGTGAGCGGGTCCAGCTGCTTCTTCCCGTGCTTGCCCTGCCCCGAGAGGTTGGACACGGCCTGCACCTCGCGGTGAAAGAGGTAGTCCAGCAGCGTGAGCGCCATCTTCTCGGCTGTGCGGCAGTTGGTGCTGATGTGCAGCATGTCAGAGGGGATGATGGCGCAGCGCACCCGCATCTCGGGGTTGTTCTCGTCGCCCAGCCAGGTGCCATTGGGGTAATCCTCTGAAAGAGAGAAGACAGGGTCCTCAGATGGCCAAGGCTCAAATAAGCTCACACTCAGGACAGCAGAGGGTTCTGCTCAGACACACCCAGGAAAGGTGCTCCGCGCAGGGCTGGGCAGATCCCTCCTGACTTGTGACGCAGTCACCAAGAGCGCTGGAGCCTCCGACTGCTGCCCAAGAAAGAACTGACGAGGAACAGGAACGATCCCACCACCCCCAGAAGCGGCCGAGGTGTCCTTCCATCCATGTCACATGGATGAATGTGGCAGGCAGGCCGTGTCCTGGCAATCCTCCTTGCTCTGCACTGAAGGCCGGCCCCTCAGAGCTGAGGCCGCCCTGCTAACTCAGTGAAGCAAGCAGATCGCAGCGCACCTAGCGCCCCCGCATCTGAACCTCCCGGGACGGCCCTGCCTGCTGCTCGCAGAAGGCTGGTGGGTGTGTGTCCAGTAGCAGGAGCCTCTGCAGCGCCCAGGGGGAGCACAGGCCCAAGTTCGTCCTCAGGTCTGGAAGAGCTGACATCAAACAAGCTCTGGTCTCAAACGCCAGGTTCTCTTCACAGCCCCAGCAGGGTAAAAAGCTTTAAAAAAATAAAAAGGTCAATGTTTGCCCACATCTGGAAGGAGACCACTTGGCACACCTGTCTCTGGGACAAGGGAGAGCCACTGCTCCTTCCTGTGTTTAGAGGACTCTGCGCTGAGAAGAGGCTGCTGGGCCCTCACCATGGTCCAAAGAGCCGAGCACACTCTACTGCTCCCTCTGCACTGTTGAGGGTCGGCCCGGCCCGGCGTGAGAAAATGGCTCTGTGTGGGACATGTGGAGCTCCAAGGGGCTCTGCACTCCTCCCCGTAGAGTCCCGGCCACCACAGTGTTCTGGGCCACTGCCCTTTCATGCTCGGTGAGCCTCACGCCTCCCCCCTGGGCAGCTCCGCAGTGAGCCTGGGGTCTGTGCACTGCACCTGCTCTGACCTCCTGCCCAGAGTACTGGAATTCCTTCCCCTTCTTGTAGCCAAATTTCCTTCCCTGCCACAGACGTCCCTTAACCACGTGGAACACACCCCTTGTGATCTTGTGACCCCAAAGGTTACTAAAAACAGAAGGAGAAAGCCAAGGCCGCGTCCGGAGGCAGGGGCAGGGACACAAGAGCAGCAGGGCCAGATGCCTGTGGGGCTGCGGGGCCTTGGGACCTGAGCGCCAACAGTCACACACTCTGCTCATCCTGGACCCGGGACCCCAGCAATACCGATATCCTCGCACACAGGTGGTACCTGCCCCAGCCACCTGCAGAGCGTTTGGAACCTTCCCTGGGGCCCCTCACGCCTCACTGCCAGCCATGCTCTCCCACTGGCCAGCCACTCACACCAAGAAAGATGCAGAGGTGAGGGACTCCAGTGTCAGCAGCCGGCCTGCCTCGCCCCCGTGCACACGATGCCAGTCCTTGCCTCTGCACAGAGTGTAAGTCACAGCATGCCCCGGACGCCAGCATTCTCAGGGCAGTTAAAGTGCAGTCGCCCAGACCAGCGCATTCAGGTGTGGGAACGCGCCATGTTCTCCACTGTCAGCGAGGCCACAGCAAGGACCCGTGGACAGGCCCACGCTCCGCACGGAGGAGACAGGGTGGCCAGGCACCTGGAGTGGCCTGAGCTTGCCTGCAAAGCACACTCCTGTGGCGATGGAGTGGGACTTCCCACCTGGCTGCCCAGGCAGTGACACCCGCCAGCCCCTCTATACCTCTCTGCCTCCCTCCCTCCCAAGCATGGGCTCTCAGCTTCCTAGCTGACCCTTCATAAGTCACTGGTCTTCTCTGAACCACAGACTCCTTCTCTGTGTAACGGCGTCTCCGAGTTGTCCTCAGGTTGACCAAGTACAGTATGTGAAAGGCTTGGTGGCTTGTCAAACTCCCTGTTCAAAGCCTCCCCGTGTGACAGAAGAAAGCTCTACACAGGATCACAAACGGGAAAGCGCGCACTCCTGCTTGGAAGCTCAGCAGGTTCCCAAATAATCTCTTCCGACCCTGAAGTTGAACCAAAGTGAGGCTGCAAGAGTCTCCCCACCCCCGGCACATCCTCCCCTGTGGAAGGGTGGAGACCTGAATACCTCCCATGAGGGGCCGGGACCTAGGAGGGACCCCACGCTATGCCGGAGTCTCCGAGGCCCAGGGCCGGCTACGGTCATGCCACCCTGGGCATCGCTGCCTCAGAACGTCTGTGAGCTTTATTCTGAAATGTTCCAAAATTGACTTTCCAGCTCCTACAAGGGCAGCCAGCCCTGCCTACCGGGCCAGGAAGCCCGGAGCACAGCCAAGAAGCCGGTGGCTGCCGGATGCTCCTAGTGTGCACAGTTCCCTCCACAGGCAGCCTTTCCCATTCCCTGAAACATAAGATTTCCATGAAATATCAGAGCAGGGCTGGTCACCCTGTCCTCACAAACACACACTGTCACGGGCAGGGCAGTGTGGCTGGGCTCTCGGCTGTAGCTAAGGATAGAAAACAGCTCTAATTTTTGGAACTCAGGACAGAGATGAGTAAGAAGCATCGATGCTCAGAGGTGGTTCGGAAGTTCAGGGATGCTGCTAGGAACATACGCTCAGACGTGCATTTTTTCAGAACATCCATCAGTCAGCCACTATTACATTCCACCTGTATATGAGGAACGAAATGGAAACATGTGACCTCAAGACTAATGGATGGAGTCTCATGGCAGGGGCTGTCTAGAGGCCACAGTTAGAAAGCTAAGAGAATCCAACCTCCGGGTATTTTATGACTTTATCTACAAATCCTTATGGGACACCCAAGTGCCTGGCACTGGGTCTAAAGTTCGGCATCTAAGCCCGTGCTCAGGGTCACAGGCCAATGCCATTGAACACAGCAGTGCAGCCCTGGCCAGCAGCAGTCCAGTCAGGAAGCCATGGGGAGGAGAAGGGCGGCACAGAGGGGGCCTGTGAGCCAAGGCAGCAGTGGTCCAGTCTCTGAGATCCGAAGCCACACGCTGCTCACACCATGGCTAGAGATGGTCATGGACTCCATGGGACTGATGATTTAAATGGGAATCTGCAGAGGAAACCCAAGATGTGGGAGGACGGCAGCCAAGGCAGCTCTGGAGCACTGGCGTCTGCACCACGCATTTCCCAGCGCCACGTGCTTCTCCCACACGGACGGGAGGCCCCAGACACAGCTCCCCGCTCGTGCTGACCTTAGACCAGCCACAGATTTCCTGGTCAGATCTAACCTAAGGGGCTGAATCCTTCCCTGTGTCTGTCCTTGTGAAGGGAGGATTTTTTTAAATGTTCTGCCTTGGGGCCTGGGCAAGGGGCAGAGATTTGCTTGTGGCCCCTGGTGGCTGGGAAGCAGAGGCCGCGCAGGCCCAGTTGGCGAACGGGAACTGTCCCACTGCCCGGTCTCCCTGACTCCTGCACCCAGGCTGGGCTCAAGCCAGGGCGACACCCTCAGATGCCATCCAGCGTGAACCGGGGCTGCGGGAATCAGCCTCGATCCCACATAGATGCTGTTCAACATGGGCTCCCAGCCCAGGCCAGCCAGGCCTCCTGGCAGTGCCAGTACAGAGCCCCAGGTAAAGGAGCACGAAAGGAGTGAAAGCCGTTGAGGCACCAGAGGAGCACCTGAGTACCTGAGTCCCTGCACAGCAGCCGCCCGGTAGCTCCTGGAGCGCGAGACCTCGGCCCTGCTCCTCCTGACTCCCAAGTGCCAGGGACAGTGGCCTGCAAGCGAACGGGGAGACAGGCAGGGGTACAGCTGATCTCAGATGAGAACGGGTGACCCCAAGCAGGGAAGGGGGAAGGAACCACCCAGGGTAAGAACTCCAGAGAACATTCCAGAGTGGGGAGCAGCACCGGCCTGGGCCAGGAGAGGCCACGTGCTCCAGGAAGGTAAGAGAACCAGCGTGGCTGGAGCTACGTCCCTGCTCGTAGGGCAGCGGAGAGACAGGGAAGGGTGGAGAACCAAGCAGGGCCCAGTCACCCAGGCAGCGAGCAGCGTGGTCCAAGCTGAACAGGCACGGGCAAAGGGGACTGGCAGAGGGATAGGCAGAGGGGATGGGCAGAGGGCATGAGCTGAGGGGGCACAGGCAGAGGGCATAAGCTGAGGAGGCACGGGCAGAGGGAGCACGGACAGAGGGGATGGGCAGAGGGAGCATGGGCAGAGGGGAAGGGCAGAGGGCACGAGCTGAGGAGGCACGGGCAGAGGGAGCACGGGCAGAGGGGACGGGCAGAGGGCACGAGCTGAGGGGGCATGGGCAGAGGGCACAGGCAGAGGGGACAGGCAGCTGATTACAGGGCTGCTCAGTAATCCAAGAACAGCCGAGGACCTGGGGTCAGTAGGGCTCACAATGAGACCCACTGTCTTTAAACCTCCCAGCGTTCCTAGCACTGAGGTTCATTTAACGGGAACTCTGGGTAGATTAGGGTGGTCTCCAGCGACACCAAGCATCTCTGGACTTAGGACCTGGAGATCCCAAACACAGGACCCGAGGCAGGCAGCAGGAAGGGCAGCAGCATCCCATGCCATCGGCCTCCCCGACCATCACCCACCCACACCAGGACGTGGGCCATGCAGGGCCAGTGCGAGGACGGTGTGGGGACGGTGGGCAGGGGCTCTCAGCTGTAGCCACCAAGCTGCTAAAGATTCTGAAGCCTCTCTCAGGAGCTGACAGTGCTGAAACACACTCAGCTGAGCTCTCTGTGGTGAGATAATATTTTTAAAGTAAACACTGGACAAGAGTTCAGAGTTGTTTTTCAAGCAGTGAGTCGAAATCATGTCAAAGTGTCACTGAGACCCTCCAGGAGGGATGACGTGGGCTCTCCATGCCCAGACCAAGAATCTCCCTGACTTAGGGGGACAGTCGGCTCCTGGGGGGGCTGCCACCTGCCACCTCCGTCCTCCCCAAGCTCCCACCTCAAGGCAATGTCGGGGCAGCCGCTGAGCTCATCCTCTCGCAGGCTCAGGCCCCACCGAGGGCTGGTGTGCAAACGTCCAGACCCAGTGCACC